AACCATGTTATTTAATATTTACAACAAATAAAAATCAATGATAAGAAAACATGTGGACACCAGACTCCACAAGACTAAAAACTAAGCCACATCAGTAACATTTGAAAAATGAAATTAGCACTGGATTCTGCAAGATGACCCCCTGTGGTGTCACACCAACAAAGTTATGCAAAGCTTCATATGACTGAAGGGGTCCTCTGAAGGCTCTGCTCACTGATCTCCAGCAGAAAAGGTCACAGCCTATGTTGGAGAGATTTTCAGCAGGGCTAAAAGGCAGGAAACAGTTGGAAGGAATGAAGAAATATTTCACAGGCAGTAATAAAAATTTTATAGGGTTTGCATGTGAAGCTGTCTAACTGATCTGTTTGTAAAATTGTCTATGACTTAAGCTCAGTCAAACTATATTATTCTATAGCATTTACAATTTAGAATGACCACTAGAATCATCATGTTATATGTAAGATACATATAAACAGTGCTTTATTTAGGTTGTTAAAGAAGGGAATGAAGCACTTTGGTATAAACTCACAAAATTATTATTCAAGGCAAGAGAAAACAGACAAGTAATAAGAACCTAAAAAACATTTCTTATTGATAAACTGTCAGGATAAAACTGTGCTGTCTTCTCTGGGACTCTAATTAGGTGTTTCCCCTTTAAGAAAGAACATTGTGTCTAATTGTGTCCAATTTTCTTATTACTCTTATGGAAGCATTGAGGGATTCAGGGGAATACTTAAATACACAATCATAAAAATAATTTAGAAAATACTCAGCATTTTGGAAGAGTGGACAAATCCTGAATTAAGTCTGCCCTTGACTCATGCTCCCATTAATCTCCACTCTAAGGTCACACTGGCTTGCACTCCATTTTGAAGCATTTGTCTGAGTATCTCGTTTTCTCCTTTTCACTGTCAAAGCCTTTGAAACTTCTGACTGAGCAGCAGCACTGCACTGCGTACACCAATGTTTTGCAGATGAAAAAGCCAGGCATAAATAATTCTTTATACTGCTTCTTTTCACAAACGTAGCTACCAGTTCAAAACGATAAACCAACTACAGAAAATGTGTGTGACAAGCGCATGATTTGGAGCTCTTGCCAGCAGTCTCCCACAGCAGGCTGGTGGTAATCATTCACTTTTCATCACAGTCTCATTCTACGCTTAGTGTGAGAACTCTGCTACCCTTTTCTAGCTGCACGTCCTATATAAAATCTGAAGTTATGTTCTCATTTATCTGGGATTTGTCAGTTCAAATATGTTACTGCTAGTGATTTGAAGAGTCAAGCTTAACAACAGTTCTTCTTGATTCTTTTTTTTTTTTTTTATGGTGTTGGGGCTGGGGAGCGGGGGATGAGTTTTGTGTTTTCTCCTCCAGCCTCACTGATTATTTTCCTTCATACCAGAATGACAGGACTGAAAATTATCCCAGTGAGGAGCCAGTGCCAGCAGCAGGCAAAGTAGGCAGTAGCCTAGGGCAGCTGCCAGCTTGTTTTTTCTGTATGGGAAAAGAGACAGACTGGCTGTGCCTGCCCAGCTGGTCACTGGCCTCTGCTTGAGTGACTTTGCCTGTTGTTGCCAAAGGATCGAGGGGGAAAGGAGGCATCTTTCTTCCCAGTTGTAGTACCATTACTAACATCCAGAAGGAGCAGAAAGCCACCTCTGTTTCCACTTCTTCCTGGACCTCCTCTTTACAGGAGAACATCCAACCCTTTGCCCAGTGACTGACCCTCCCCATCAGAAGAGAAGACAAGGCTCTGGGGAGACCTTATGGCAGCCTTCCTGTACCTAAAGGGGGCCTACAGGAGAGATGGGGAGGGACTCTTTATCAGGGAGCAGAGCAATAGGATGAGGAGTAATGGTTTTAAACTGAAATAGGGGAGATTTGATTGGAATTTATTTACTGTGAGAGCGGTGATGCACTGGAACAGGTTGCCCAGAGAAGTTGTGGATGGATGAACACCTGGAGGCGTTCAAGACTGGGCTGGATGGGTCTTTGAGCAACCTGGTCTAGTGGGAGGTGTCCCTACCCATGGCAGGGGGGTTGGAACTCGACGATATTCAAGGTCCCTTCCAACTCTAACCATTCTATGATTCTGTGACCACCCTGGCAGGTCCCTATCAGAGAACAGCGATGAGTGCTGGAAGAAGCAGGGGGGCAAGAGGAGACAGGTGACAGCATGGGGCAAGGGATGCGTTGGTCATAAAAGTAAGAAAGTTCTTCGGAATGACTGGACACAAGCTGGGATAGGAGAAAGAAAAAAAGAGAGACACCTTAAGTCTTCTGAAACGTGGGCACTACTCCCTGCCATAACAGTATTTCCTAGGCTCTTGTCCACCAGCACAATTTTCTGATTAAACTCTGCCAAGCCCTCTTAGTTCCCTCCACCATCACCCCCCAAAAAAAGCAATATTGCTACTGTCAAGAAAACCTGATTTGGCTCTAACAGAAAAATTAAACTGTGGAATAAAGGATCTCCCATTCCATAGGCAGCTTCCTCCATCTTCTCTACTGTTTGCCCATAATTTCCTAATTTCATGCTTGTCTAATTTAATATCCTCCTCTGTTGCCTCAAACTACATCTCTATATGTGCTCACAAACTACATGTCTCTATATGCTCATAATCATACTGTATGCCAATGTCTCACAATTGCTCTTGCCAGAAATGGAAAACAGCACAGCTCAGAAGAGCACAGGAACTAGATAGGTTTTAGAGCTCTGTTGGCCATGCCCCTTCAAGTTACACTGTTTTTTAGGACAGTGGGTCAACAGCACCAGTAACTCCTGTTCCTGTCCTTCCAGGGTATGGCTCAGGGCATTTCTCAATCATCCACTTCCTATAGATGCCTAATTTCTTCCATACAAATACATATGAATATGGTTCATAGAACATGACTTATATGGAATAGCCCATAACCTGTCTCTGTCCTATATTCAATCAACTCATACCTATTGAGCCTGAAATCCACTAAATCAGTTTACGAGCTCAGAGCAGGTCCTAACATTGCCCCTTTTCCTTGAAACACTCCAGTTGTTCTTGTATTGATTCCATCTATTCTGAAACTTCCTTTTCACAAAGTTTCTACTTTGACAGGTAGGAATATCAACTAATCTGTTATTAACTTTTACTGGATGCATTGATACCTTCTGATTGGTTTTACAACCTTTACCTTAACCTGCAGCCCTCAGTATGTAATAAGTAAACTATGAACTGACCATGAACCACCCCTGCCATGTTTTGTTCACCGTATCTGCAAACTGCTAGCGAGAAACAAAACCCTTACCATCTACAAACTGTTTTCTGGAAGGAGAATGACTGTGCCCAAGAATTTAAAGAATTCAAGAATTTGTGTATTCTAGCTGATTGGCCTGCAGTGACAGGAGGAGGGGCAATGGCTTCAAGCTGGAGGGGAACAGATTTAGATTGGAGATGAGGAGAGGGTTCTTTACTGTGAGGGTAGTGGAGCACTGGAACAGGTTGCCCAGGGAGGTGGTTGAGGCCCCATCCCTGGAGATATTCAAGGTGAGGCTGGTCTAGTTGGGGGTGTCCCTGCTGACTGCGGGGAGGTCGGACTAGATGACCTTTGGAGGTCCCTTCCGGCCTGGGCAATTCTATGATTCTATGCTTCTATGATTTAGGGAGATCTGAATACCCACACCAATGACAACAGGGATTAATTAAGCACTAAAACCCGAAGCTAACAAGTTCAAGGGTGAGGAGAGACACACCATCAAAGGAAACAGGAACCTTGACTAGGCAAAGGTTGGAGGTACTTGTTGCAGTGAACATTATAAGAGCAACTCTGTGTTTGAAGAGGAAGCACAGCTTGGAGTTGTGCCCTCCATGAGGGCATTCCCCGACTTATGACCTTGCTTCAATGCGTATATTTGTGTGTCTTCTACACTATTGTTGCTCTTAGAACTTCCTCACGTACTACATGCAAATGATAAAACTAAGCATACCCATGCCCTAGAGAAGGAACACTGCCAGGGACTGCGACAAGTGCATTTTACATCTTGTCCCACACGCTTAGAGTTCTGCAAAGCTGTCTGAATATGTTACTGGAGTAGGCTGCTGGCTGACTTTCCAAGGAAATTTGCTGAGAAAGTCCACCAAATTAGATCTTCTCTTCCTCCCAACACCAGAAAAAGCAGATAAAACTTAGTGCTTATAATTTTGCCTAACAAAAGTCTGTATTTGTGGTCTGAATGTAATAGAAACTATGATCTCAACCCCACTGAAGATGTTTTCTCAGATACTGTAACAACTACAATTTTTAAATTGTCTTTCACAAGGCACACTATGGTGCCAGTAAAACCCCAACGCGCTGTCTGGAAAGTTATCTACAAAAGGTTCCAAATGACATTTTAACAGAGAGAAAAGTATCTGAAGTCAGTGTGTAGGTCAAACAAATCAACGAAAAAACACATTTAATTTTCTTCCTCTCTGCCACTCTCACTGGTTCAGCTACAGATGGCATGATGTTATCCCCTTCCAAGTCAGTTTGCTGACTGTCTCCCTCAAAAATTAATTGAAAGAAGTGGATCCTATAATTTAAAATGAAATAGGCTCAGCAGGTGAGTAAGCTTTGTAAAGATTGATTACTGAGTATTGATTTTCCACCAATTGTACAAGTTACACTCCGCAAGGCCACCTGGACATTAACCTAGAATACACAAAATCACCTCGGGCTAACATCTAACGAGAGGTTTGTATTTTCAGAGGATGCGGGTGAGAACACAATGCTGCAGTCTCCAGCTCTTTTCCTCACACACACATTCAACGGCATTTATTTGGACAGCATTCACACTTTGGACTTACTTCACCATAAACAACTATTATTTGTATTTTTGTTTTTCAAAAAGAATTTAAAATAACTACCCAGGATAAAACTTCATACAACCTAGCGCCAACTTAATTGTAAAAACTGTAAAGATACTCAGGTTCTTCCATGATATGAAGGAAAGAGATGCTGGATGCAGTGACAGTAGAGTGGCTTACTGTGGCCTGGAAGCTTCTGCTTGGTCCGTCTGAAGCTTCTCACCTCCTTCCACTTCCATGGTGCAGTAGACGATTCGATTGGGAGCGACTGACCTTAAACCTTGCACCTCCATTATAACAATCTGAGGAAAAGAAAACAAATAGTTTCTCCTACAGAAAACATGACACAGCACAGCTACCGCGGTACTAAGCTTCAGGTAGGTGAAAAAAAAAAAGAAAAAGAAAAAATCTCCAAACACCACTCACTCAAATCTTCACAGAGAAGAGTTTTCATTTTGACCTTTTTTTCCCCACTTTGAACAACACAGAGTAGAAATTGAAATTTTGCTCTGTTTCTACTTGGACAACAACCAAAAACTCACTCCAACCACAGTTTAAATGCTAGTAGTTGAATTTGAGACTAAAGTCTGAGTGTAATTCTAAATGTTAACACATGAGGAAATGTATCTTTTAAGCAGTCATGTAAATAAGCATTTATAGAACGGAGAGGTTACTAAGTCAGGTTGTAAACAAGACGAGTGAGTGCACTGATCACATCTTGAGAGGTTAACCATGGTGCTGCGACACCGGAGGTCGCAGCCCTTGCATCTCTGAGGCGCTTTGGTGCTGTGCCGAGCAGGAGGCAGGCCAGAGCATCCCTATCAGCTGCTGAGTTTCTCCCCTGCTGCCTACACCCCTTTCCCTTCTCCCAGCTCCATACTCGCAGTCAGGTCCGGTGTGCATATGGGGGGAGAGGAAGAGAAAGGAAAAAAGCCCCTACCAGCTGCGTTCTGATAAATTTCCTCACCAGGGAAATTCTGAGCTTGGCAGATCACATAGTGTTTCAGCTCCTCTGAGCTACTCAGTTACAGCTTAGAAGAGCCAAATGCCATCCTACTTCAGCTGCTCTCCGCCTTTTATAAACCTTACGGTTTGTCACTGTGTGAAATTATTGGAATTTTTACACTTTAGATGTTTCTAATTCAGAGACGATTTGAGAAGAAAGTCACATTTCCCTGCTTGCTTTGGAAAAGCTGCTTTCCTTTCCAGCCCTATTTGGGTCTATGAGAAGAAACCAGGAAAAAATGTAGCTCATTTAATCAGGAGGGAAGCTGTCCTCAACTAACCTATACACGTAACCCAGTATTTGTTTGATTGTTTTAAAGGTGACAAAAGTAATGACCACTTTTGGTCTCAGTGGAGGCAACTGGTTTCTTAGGTCAGCAAGCAACTACGAAAGTACTTTGCTATTCAACCCTTTGCCTATTTCCCAATTCATTTCAATTGAAGTACGTTAAGCCAGACTTCACCCCTAGCTGTACAATCCCTTGGACTTTAAAACTTCCAGAATCTTAGTAATAGATAGATATCTTGTCAAATTGCTAGTTTGGTAATACTACAGTGAGATTACAGTCATTTACAATATTTTTACATTATGCATAAATTATCAACACTGCCTATTAAGCTTTATAAATAATAACAGCAATTGAGGCAGAATGACGTAATTATCTCTTCTATCTCATATTTTGTGGTTCAGGAATTCAAGTAGTTAAAGTGATCAACGATCACTGAATGACAGCACAAGTGATCCTCCTAGCTAATACTGCCTGTATGGTCTTTCCACTTTCCAAATATATGTCCTTGTTGAATGCAGACTTCATGTTTATTCATTATTATGTTGATACTTCTTTTCTTTGAGTTTCCAATTTAATTGCAGAGTACCTTTGTCTTTGCTAGCACTTCTGGATTCTAGCAGCGGAGAAATGTTGCATTTCATTAGGAAGGAAACTGTCACAAGCTGATTTACTAGCTCATTAGCTGATGAACAGCTTCCTAAGTATCGCTTGTCTATTTCTTAAGCTGTCCAACAGCTGGAGAACACAAATGATTAAGTCTTCTACTACTTTGATATTTTATTTATGTAATTTACAAATTTTTGCAAATAGGCTATTTGAGGAAATATCCAACTTGCAGAAATAGTCACTGTTGCTTCTAGCGACGTGCAGAGCAGCTTTTATCTTCAAAAGCAAGGTCCATTCCCACCAGAACATTATAAATGTTACATCTTTTGCTGTTCTATCTTAATAACGACTTGCAGCATGAACCCCCACCACTTTGCCCTTTGCAAAGAGATTTTCACCAACTTTTTTTTCTTGTACTAATGTTTAGACCTGTGTCATGGTTTCGGCTGGGATGGGGCTGACTTTCTCGCTGGCAGCTGGGTTAGTGCTGTGTTTTGGATTTGGGATGAGAATGGTGTTGACAGCACACTGGTGTTTTGGTTGTTGCTAAGCTCTCAAGGCCTTTTCTGTTCCTCACACCGCCCCGCCAGTGAGTAGGGTGGGGGGGCACAAAACGTTGGTAGGAGACACAGCTGGGAGAGCTGAGCCAAACTGACCAAAGGGATATTCCATGCCATGTGACGTCCTGCTCAGCGTATAAAGCTGGGGAAGAAGAGAGAAGCTGAGAAAGTTTGGAGTTATGGTGTTTTGTCTTCCCAAATAACCATTACACGTGATGGAGCCCTGCGTTCCTGGAGATGGCTGAACTCCTACCTGCCCTTGGGAAGCAGTGAATGAATTCCTTGTCTTGCTTTGCTTGTGTGCGTGGCTTTTGCTTTACCTATTAAACTCACCCACAAGGTTTTTTTCTCTCTTTTACTCTTCCAATTCTCTTCCCCATCCCAACTAGGAAGCGTGATTGAGCGACTGCGTGGGGCTTAGTTGCTGGCTGGTGTTAAACCATGACAACATGTTACAGATTTCCTGTTCATTCATGCTCCTGTGCAGCAGCCCTCAGTGGGGATTTTGCTGGTTACCCTGTAATCTAGCTGTCACATCCCAAAAGACATAAAATGTTTATGTGTTACTCAAGAAATGTGAAATTGTGCATTTATGACTTCACACTTTCCAGAAATAAAGTATTCTATCTGCAATGAAATCAGATTTTCTAATTTCCCATTTGCATCAAAAAAGAACAGATCTTCAATATTTCAGTCTAAATTAATATCGGTTCAGCTGTTTCCTTTTGCCCTTATATCCTCTGAGATTTAGCTTCTCAAGAGTAAGACACGCACGTGTCCAGCAAGAAACTTAACTTATATGATTAACACCATGTTTTAAATGAAAATTTGCCCTACTAAAAACTGCTACCTGTAGAGTAACATGTTCATTTTTTGCCATGCCCAGGATGAACTGTACATTACTAACTTCGCAGAACATGCACATGCTTTCTCTAATGAGCACTGGAAAAAAAACCCACAAACCCAAGTTCACTAGACCGAATAGCCTGCATTTCTGGTGTGAGACGGGAAGGGCTGTTAACAAAGCAAAACTGCACCAAATGTAACAGAAATTAAATCTACTGTAATTTTTCATTTCATGACTATTTCAATCTTTTACTGTGCTTTTCTCCCAAATATCTCAGAATTTTTTGTACATGCTTAATATTTCTCTCTAGAGGCACAGAGAAAACGTTTATTCTTCTTACATGTCTCACCAAGCAAACTTTCTTGAACACAGAAAACATCATCGAGAAACTTTTTCAGGTACTTTTTAGGTGCTTCAGAATTATTCTTTGCTATTGCTATTTATGGACCATTCCAGACTTGGTATTCCACTTGAGGCAGACAGAGCACACGTGATGGTGATGCGCTGGAATCAGCACAGGGATTATAAAACTACTTCATCATTTCATATACTTCACTATTAAGGCCTGCACTCCTGTTTTGCATGCTTGATGAACGAAGACATTTTGGCACACAGAATGATGGCTCTTACTACTCTTTGAAAGTTGATGTTGGGCTTTTACATTATTAGCTAGTAATATTAAAATTGCATACAGTGGGATGAGTAATTTCTCTGCTATACAAAGGATTTAAACTTTTTCATCTGTCCATTTTTGACATTTTTTCAATTCTTTGTGTATGTTGATGACACAGGAAAGAAATATTGATTTGAGTTTTCAATATTACATGAAAAAAGCAGATGCTCATTTCACTTAAGAAAAAGCATTGTTTAAAAAAAGAAACATTTTTTGTTTGTTTTAAACTATTTAACAACTTAAATCCTTATTCTGTAACATTATCTGTTGTCTTAAACAAACTAAAGCCATTTCAAGTGCGTAACACAAACGTGGCACCTCCTGACCAACAAATACACAATACACACTTGGGAAGTGTTTTGATTCTGTTATTATTGAAAGAGCAATCAGCATTACCTGATATGCACAGCTGCGGAATTGGACCTGAGCTATGATGCTGTCATCAGATATGTTTAAGTAATTAACAGTATTTGTGGTTTCCTCTTGAAGCCAGTTGAGCTCTATATGGATTAGGACCACATCCCTATAGACCAGATTTCCTGAATAATCTCAGTAAAAATCAGCTAGTTTAAATTTATAAAAGTCTGCTATGACCACCACTATTTTTTTTGTTGTTATTTATTCTTCAAATGCTTTCAGTGAGAAAACACAACTTGTCTGTAAAATTCTATGAATGAGTTCCTGATTATAACAGTGTTTCATTATTAAGTTCCTAAGTATACTTAGGTATTTAATGTACTGGAATTCATTTAAAGTTACATTTGTGTGGGATATTCAACTGCCCACATTACTGTGTGGACCCAAATGTATTTTAGTGCTGACAGAAGAAAATGCATCATATAGCTGTATTCTAACTCCTAATTAACAAAGAGACAAAGAAAAATTTAGTTCTTTAACATAAAATTTTAAAATTACCAAGGAAGGACTAATATTAAAGAAGTATCAAGACATAGATATACTAGGAATTTAAACTGTCAACAAGTTTTCTGTGAAATATGTGATTACCTCTAATGTGAAGGACAGGACCACATCAGACTTCGACAGTTGAACCTCGTTTTCATCTCCTATGTCCAAGAACGCAGAATTCTGTGATCGCTTCAACTTCTGCAGTTTAAATTCTGGCCCACCTTTAGACACTGGAAGACTTTCCAAATTTGCCATCAGCAAATTCACCGAAGACCGCAGCTCCTCTATGTACATGTTCTCCATTTCTCTTGTTACGAATTTGGGGAATTTTCTTTCCTTAGAAGGTATATTTTAAAAGTTAAGGAGGAAAAAAAACATCATCCCCCATTATACATCATCGTAATTTACTGATTTG